TTTCTTTCCTGCAATTTTTCCCTCGGGTTTATGTGTTCTTTTACTTTATCACCTGGCAGGGACAAATCTTTGCTTTTAGTCTTAATAAATGAAACAAAACTAATAACACACTTTCAAGTCGAAGAGTCCACTAGAACTTTATATAAAATAATGCACGTGGATCATATGGGCTACATTATGCTGCTCCTGACAACAAACAGATGTCTACTGAGAGCTAACTGGGTGGTGCTAGCTTGGGGAAGTGTGCAGCTCTGAGGAGCCCAGGTGTTTGGTGCCTACCGAGGTCAAGTGAGGCATTTCTGAAGCGAGTGTCACACTAGTCACACTATGAGTTCTTATTACCTCATTATTTTAAGCTCCAGTGATGAATTAATTTCTTCTATAACACAGCTTTAGTAAATGAGTCCGCTGATTAGGGCTTAGTTCTTTAGTATCTGTATTGTTACGTATTCTGGTATACATTTAAGAAGCTCACTTAGCCAGCAGTCAGTTTTTACTCTGTGTTTATGTACATAGAGATAAATAAGACTGTGCTCTTGACCTCAGACTGTGTATACTTTAAAGGAGACAGAACATTTTAAAAGAGTATAATAACTGATAGGACTAAACAGAAGGAACCTGGGGAATATAGAGGGACGTTTAATTCAAACTGGAAATTGAGGGAAGACTTCTTGATGGAAAAAGGTGAGACTTGAGACTTAGAAGATAAGTCAACAAGATGAGAAAAAGGTGGAAAGGTTTAAGCAGATGCGTGAAGGAATGAGACAGCATGTTGCTTGCAAAGAAACAATACTTTGTTGATTGTAATAGAGGATATAGGGGTCAGGCACGGTGGCTTACGCCTATAACCCCAGCACTTTGGGAGGCAAAGGCAAGAGCATTGCTTGAACCCAGGAGCTCAAGACTAGTCTGGGCAACACAGCAAGATCTCATCTCTACACAAAATTTTAAAAATTAGCTGAAGAAGGCTGAGGCAAAAGGATTGCTTGAGCCCAGAAGTCAAGGCTGCAATGGGCTGTGATCATGCCATTGCAGTCTAGCCTAGGTGACAGAGTGAGACCCCAGCTTAAAAAAAAAAAAAAAGGTAGTAGTATTGGGAGTACTACTGCTGCAGAGTTACTGAGGAGCTGTCCTATAGTGGATTTTGTCTTAAGAGAAGCTTTAACTTGAAGGTGATGGAGACTTATATGAGATAGGCAGATATGTCCTTTACATACATCCTTCCAAGGGAGGAAATACTGGAAGTCAGGAATTCAGTTCAGAGGCTACTGCAATAGTCCTTGCTGAGAGATGATGAAGACAATATAGGGGACAGAGAAAGGGAGTATTGGGGGGGAATGAGAAATGTATCCCTCTTCTATTTGTAGACATAGACACGTCACTGTAATTTATGTAAAACACATTTCATTCCAAGTCACATTTACATTCACATATATTACGTAAAGCAGAGGGATACTAAAAGGAAAAAAAAAGATTGACTTTTAATTCAATACAAAATTCTAAAGAGAAGAATGGTTTTCAAAAAGTTTGCACCTTGTGGCTAATGTATAGGACATAAACAGAATAGCTACATAGTCATTGTCACAAAAATTCTTACGCTAACATTAAGTCCTATTCTAATTAGGTTTTCACCTTTACTCATGCCATCAAAGGTTGTTTTCAGTTCTCTGTTCTCACGTCCAGATATCTACTTTTTCTTTAACAAATTAGCACCTAAGATTTATTAATTCCACCAACAGATGGTCCTGACACATATAAGTCTCACCATGAAAACGTTTGGATTTTTAATCAGGATGTTCTTTGCCCACATGTATTCTTCCTCAGCTTGCATGAATAGCTTGAGGCCTGAGGCATTTCAATGAGGCTCAGGTGGTCTGGCTGTTGGCAAACGTGACCTTCACCCTCCAGTCTCCTCAGCCCTCCCTAATGCTGCACGCAGTGAATTCCTAATGCCAAGGAAAGAAACTGGACTAAAATCCTTATTGGAAAGGATGTCATAGGGAACCATGTTTGTTCTGATCTTGTGGCTGTGAAGGCTCCAGAAGGAAGTCACTCTGCACCCTGTCCTGCTGGGAGATGGCAAAAGGTGGGGGCCAATATCATGACCTCAGCTTACATCAACCCGCTGATGGCATTTACCACTAAGTAAACGTTCAGACGGTCTGAGGTGTCAAGACAAGTCTATTGAAAACAGTACAGACGACTCACAATGAGCCACTTCTGAAAACTGACCCCTCTCATACAGCAATTTATACAGAACAACTTAGCCACATCAGCAGCAGGAAGACATCCAGGACAGAGTAGCACAATGGTCAGGCACATGTGTCTCCTGGTTACTTCTAAACATGTTCTCATTAGACTCTGGGCCTTCCTCTCCATGTTATTCTTGTAGGCCTTGGTGATCCTTGCCACATACCATGGAGTTCCAGCTATATGCAAGGGGTCGTGCCAGGGCTGATGATAAGCATTTATATTTTTCAAGGTCAAATACTGTTCTAGACACTGCAGATAAAAAGACACATTTCACCTGTGCTCCATCCTCCTGAAGCTTACAACCTAGAGGGGAGGCATTCCCACTGTTCATGGTATACCCTCCAGTGCAGCAATGAAAGGGGATGAGGCCCAGAAGGAGACTCCAAAGACAGGATCAGTCAGCTCTGCTTTTGAAAGCTTCCTGAAGAGGTGACTTGGGATATGCATTCCCAAAGAATGAGTGTGAGTTCCACAAGAAGGGAAGAAGTTCACAACCCATAGGAAGGGTCACATGGCCTACTTTCTGCCGCTCCTGACACATTTACCAGGGGCCTGATAATAGTTCTGTCTCAGAGAAGGGCAGCCAGGAACTTTTCAGAGCTCAGGCGACTGCTGGCTACTGAGGCCGAGGGAAGCAGCTCTGCTGTGAGCACCAGTGCTGAGCACAATAAATAACTGGCCACATTTGGAGTGGAGTAGGGAGCTCCCTTCTTTTCCAGCCTTCTAGGCAGAGATGGTTTCCACAGTGCTAAATGTTCAGGCTCTGGTTTGAAAGCGATCAGACAGGGAGCTCTGAGCCCTGAAAAAGGGCCTTTTTTTTTTCTTATTTTTTCAGCAGTTGATTTTCAAATTTTGACATTCATACGAATTGCCCAGAGCAACAGTTCTCAAAGTGCAGTCTGGAAACCAGCAGCGTCACCTGGGAACTTGTTAAAAATGTAAATTTTCAGACCCAATCCAGACCTATTCAAGCAGACACATTGATGATGGGACCCACTTTTCAGTCTTAATGAGCACTCTAGGTGCCTCTGATTCTGACCTATGGTAATCATTAAAAATACAAGTTCTTGAAGACTATTCATAGAGATTCTGGACTAATTGGGTAATCAAACATTCTGCCAGTTATTGCAACAGCTCCATGCCTTGCCTTCTTAGCTGCACCCCTAAACAGGCTTCAGCTTTTCACTGATATGCCCCTCTCCACATTACTGGGCTCAGCTAGGTCTGGCATTCAACTCTTCACTATGCCATTTTACAGCAACCGCTATGAACCTCGGTGACTACATCTGTAAAATGGAGGCAGTAATACAGTTTACAAGACAATGCAGGCTTGGAAAGATGAGGGATGACACATGATGTACCTGGGACAGCACTCTGACACTTGGGAAACAACCAATAGCTGACAGCTGTCATGCCTGCTGTGCCTATTATCCAGGGTCCATCTCTGCTAGTTGCAGTGGATGGCTATAGGTTAATCAGAAAAAATAAAAATAAAAAACTCTGTAAGTATATGGTGGTCAATGTATCCCCATTGTTGGGTCAAAACTGACTAAACCAACTCCAAACCGCATATAAATAGTGCACCATGGTGAGGGCCTGAGCACTGTTACCTCCTTTCCCTGTCTTCAGCTTCTAGACCCACGGCCATGTAGAATTAGCATTGTTTGGGTCCCTTCCTCTGGCCCATCTCTGCCTAGGACATGCTAGTACTTGGTTCCACCTGGAGCCTACTGTCTATCACAAAATCCTCCAATCTGTGTGGAGGACTCATATGAAAATGTTGGGAGGAAGAATTCTGTATGTGTTGACATGTGTGATAGGATGGCCTATAGGAACCCCTCCAAACTTAAGAGACTAAGATCGACCTGGCACTACTTGACCAACAAGTTGTTTGGAAGTCTTTGTTAGCAAACTTCTCTTCAAATATTTCATTCTTAATCTGGTGAACCCCTTAACAACTAAATTATGCTCAATGTCTTTCTCTGGGTATTTACAGAATATCAAGCCTTCCTCCAATAATATAATTCTTGAACAAAATACTGTCCTCTTTTTTAATATAGGGTGATATCTTAGTTATTTATATTTTTAAATTAGTTTGCCTCAAACGACACTTCCTGGACCAGGCCTCTGGAGTTTAACATAGTATCTCTCTCTCTTTCTGCAACCACCCCTCCCCATATACTACTTGAAAGAAAGTATTCTAGAACTTAGGGTAAAAAAAAAACACCATAAATTTATAGCTTCCACTTGTTATAAAAAAGATAGGGAAAGATAGTCTTCCTGAATCCAAGTTCATGATTCATTCCAGGCTGGTGCAAAATGCTTTCTTCCTGAGATTTTAGCTGAGCACTACCATTGGCAGCTTAAATAGCCAAACTGGCACTGCCAGGAGTTAACACAGTTGGATGTTAGCTTTAAGAAAATTGTTTCTTGTGCACAAAAGTTTGACGTAAGTCATGCAAATCGCAAAGATCGACAGTGAGGAGGTGCTACCCTATACAGTGTGGGGAGGAAAAACGTGGCAGGATGCTCATATCAATCTATCTCCTGCTGCGAGCGAGGAGATTTTGGTGAAGCATCCACACTTTTAAGGGATACAAGACTGGTATGTCTCAGTATACTGCCTTGCAGCTAAATGGAGTATTCAGTAAATTCTGAATACCTCTTAGCCAAGAAACAGCGGTCCCTATTCCTCTTATCACCGAGGCACATGTGTGTAAATTCACTTGAGAATGCCATAGTGACAATCAAAACACAGAATCTTCCAGGGTCTCAAATCCAGGATCTTCCACATAACTTACAACTTCAATTTCGGTTTCACCGGACCCAGCTTTCTGAAAAACAAATAATCTTTCCTTAGATGTCATTTATAGAAATTTTCATTTCTTAACTTCTGTACACTTGGTATTAAGTTTATTTTTATATAGACTTAAATACAAATAGCAAATGTTCAGTGATGAAAATGTGAAAAATGGGAAGAAGAAAAAAAATACCTGCCCATAAACTTATCTCGCCAACACAGACTATCACTTCTCCTCAGCCCTCTTTTCTAGGCATAAAGTGTTCTTTACACTTATAGGACATCATATAAACTTTATTAATTGATTTATTTTTCTGTAACATTATATAACATTTCAAATTATAGTTTCATGTTCTTTGCATTATTTGTAATAGCTTCATCATATTCCATCCATACATTAGTACTCCCCTAAATTTGGATAGTTCTGTCCTATTTTGGTTATTATAAAAAATGCTGATAATAATTGGAAAGTTGGTGACAAAAAATAAAACTGCCTATATGAGATCCTATTCCTTTACCTCATTTACTCATCCAACACACATTTTGATACCTGTTCCACACTAAGCACAGTGCTGTGTTTTGGGTACACACAGATGTAGTCCCTGCTCAATGCACTTTAAATTCTTTGTAGAGCCAGCTCGGTGGCTCAGTCATTAATCCCAGCGCTTTGGGAGGCTGAGGTGAGTGGATTGCCTGAGCCCGCAGGTTTGAGACCCACCTGGGCAAGTTGGCGAGGCCTCATCTCTATAATAAAATAAAAAAAATTAGCCAGGCCTGGTAGCGCATGCCTGTAGTTCCAGCTGCTTAGAAGGCTGAGGCGGAAGAATCGCCGGAGCCCAGCAGGTCGAGGCTGCGGTGGCTGGGAGTGTGCCACTGCACTCCAGACTGGGTGACAGAGTGAGACTCCAACTCAAAAAAAAAAAAAAAAAATTCTTTGTAGGCAACTTGATATGGGGAGGAACCCTCTCTGGTAGCCATTATAGAAACAAAGAACTGCAAACCAGTCTTTCATATATTGAAAGTTCAGGATAAGATTTTTTAAAAATAAGCCTTTGTTTTTTCTGCTAAAAGCAAACTTGCCTCCCTTCTTCACTGTTTCTTGAATGTTAAAAAACAATTTCTAATTGAGGTTTAAACAAGCAAAAACTTGTTTTATGAGAGCTGGAATGGCTGGTCTCCTTCAAGTCCTGGGAATTCAGAAGTACAAATTATCATTAAGAGCAGAGGGTTTCCTTTCCCACTGGCCAAGCGCTTCCCAGTGGTCACTGCCCAAAGGCACCAAAGTGCCCTCTTGTCATCATTGTAGTAGAGACCTCAGGAGTGTGTTGAACAGCTTTTGCCTATAGAGGTAGAGGGTGGGCACTGCCATGTGTGGCCCAGCTGTGGTCAGCTCTACATTCGCTCTCGTACTCTCTCAGGTGGAGAATTTAGCCCATGGGGCCAACAGCACCAGGCAGTGCTTTATTTCCCCAATTCTGTGTGCTCTTTCTATTTTTCTCTCACTCATTTGATTTTATGCAAAACTCTGCAACATGAGAAGACAAGAAGTTGTCCTGAGAAGCCAGGCCGTGTTGAACTCTAACATTAATCCTTTGCTTATTCTGAAACCAGCTTGTCTGTCCCAAGTTGTTATTTTGCACACATGACTTGATTTTAATTAACAATAAACCATAATCTTCTACAGTGAAGTCTTAAACCAGTTTCTTTTGCCAACCTAATACTATTAAAGGAAATCTTTTGGAGGCTTTGTAGGGAAATTAGATACCAGCATTAAGATGTTCCATTAAGAGCCAGGACAAATGACCTCAGTCAACTGCTTAAATCAAATGTGGTTTCTCAGGGATGAGTACGATAGTGCAAGAAGGGATTGGCAGCACACGTTCAGAAGAACTGACAGCAAAGTTGCACACTGGGACCCATTCTCCTTCTAGAAGAGTTTGGTGAACAAGAACAGATGGGCTGTTCCCTAACACAGGAGAACACAAGGATCAAACCAGGGCAGTGATCCTTTTGTCAGCCTCAATTCTCTGCTTTGATAGGTTAGTAACTGTTATTGTTTATAAATCATTACAAACACCCAAACCGCAAACTCGAAAAAAAGTCACAGAGCATTAAAATGAACCATTTTGGTGAGTTTTTCCATCAACTCTTTGTTTTCCCTATAACCAGTCACCAAGTAGTTCATCCAGTCAGAGATTACTTTATTTGACAGAAATGTATTTTTGTTAAGAAAATTGCTTGATCTAAAGTGGGGGTTGGAAAACTAGCCATGAGTCAAATCTGGCCTATTGCCCGTTTTTTTAAATGGAGTTTTATTGGAACACAGCCATGCCCATTCATTAGCACATTTTCTGTGGCTGCTTTCACACCACAAAAGTGAGTTGAAGAGTTGAGACAGAAACCATTTGTCCCTCAAATATTTACTATCTGGATCTTTATAGAAAAAGTTTACGACCCCTGATGTAAATAACCATTCAACTTCAGGATAAATTTGACAGTGTAATAATTATACACTAAAAAAATCACAAAACAATTCTGAGAGATATTAAAGAAAACCTAAACAAATGGAGCGATGTGCTGTGTTTATACATTCGAAGATTCAATATTGTTAAGATGTCACTTCTCCCCAAATTAATCTATAATTCAACACAAGCCCATTCAAAATCCCAAATGTCTTTTCTTGTAGAAAATGATAAGCTGGCTCTAAAACTTAAATTAAAATGGAAAGGTCCTGGAATAATCAAAAAAACTTCAAGAAAAGTCATTTTTATTTTATTTTATTTTTTTGAGTTAGAGTCTCACTCCATCACCCAGATTGGAGTGCAGTGGCACCCTCCTGACCACCGCAGCCTCGACCCACTGGGCTCCGGCAATCCTTCCACCTCAGTCTTCCAAGTAGCTGGAATTACAGGCGCATGCGAGAAAAGTCATTTTTAGAAGTCTTACATAACTGGTCATGAGGTTTATAATTAAGATAGTACTACATTGGCATAAAGGTAGAAAAATTCATTAATGAAACCGAATAGTACCGGAATAGACACACCCAAAATAGACAACTAATTTCTGACAAAGATGCCAAGACAATTAACTGAGGGAAGGATAATTTCTTTCAACAAATGATGCTCGAATTCTAGGATAGCCATAGGTAAGTGGCCACTATGCTCTAAGCCTAAGCACTCTGAATGGTGAATAGGGAGCTAAGAGGAAATTTTGAGGAAATCATTTGCCTTCTTTGTGCATTTTGCTACTGTTGTTGGGTTTTGGGGGGGTTGTTTGTTTCTTTTGTATTTGTTTTTTGTTTTGTTTTGTTTGGAGTTGGGGTTCCAATCTGCCACTCTGGTAGAGATCATCCAGCGGCATGATCACAACTTACTGCAGCCTCAACCTCTTGGGCACAGGCAATCCTTCCACCCCATCCTCCCAAGTAGCTGGGATTACATGCAGGCACCACCATGCCCAACTAATTTTTTAAAAATTATTTTGTAGAGACAAGGTCTCACTATGTTGCCTAGTCTGATCTCAAACTCCTGGGCTCAAGCGATCTTCCCAACTCGATTTCCTTAAGTGCTGAGATTACAGGTGTGAGCCACCATGCCTGGCCTTCTTTGTTTTTTTAATACTAAAGAACTAAAGTTCCCCTGAAAATTCTCTAGCAACTAGGGTAGTCATGTGCTAAAACATGGCATCTTTAAGCACTAGAGGTAAGCAGAACATGGTAAAATCTCATCTGTGTCCCTTAGCTATACAGAAAAGGAAGTCGTTGGGGGCTCATAGAGTTGAAGGAATTTCCCAAGAAATTGGTAATATGAAAGTAAAATTCAAGTCTAACTGGTGAGAGCACTTAATTGAGCAGGATCTTTCCAATGTATAAAAACAGTAATGAACATACATAACAAAATAATCAGCCAAAGAACTGAACGACTAAAGCAACAGAAAGGCTCCTGGCCCCCTTAAGTAAAAGTCCTGCCTTATAATATAGAAAACCAAGAACTCAATGACAGTTCCCAGGGGACTCCACCCTGGATACATATGGCATATCATAAGAACTTTCAACATTACCTCATAGTGGATGGTTACAAATAGATCATTGATACTACTTTTTGGTGCTGGAACTGGAGGACACAACTTGGCCCATAAATGACACCTGAAAACAGAGAAAAGGAAGGATTTAGATGAGCACGAGTATCCCCGTTTGCCCCTAAATATCTACTTTAAAAATTGACCTAGATGGCAGGGCTCGGTGGCTCAGTCTGTAATCCCAGCACTTTGGGAGCCTGAGGAGGGTGGATTGCCTGAGCCTGCAGGTTCGAGACCCACCCAGGCAATTTGGCAAGACCTCGTCTCTACAATAAATCAAAAATTAGCTGGGTGGTAGCATGCGCCTATAGTTCTGGCTACTTGGAAGGCTGAGACGGAAAGGTTGCCGGAGCCTGCACGTTGAGGTTGCGGTGGCCAGGAGCATGCCACCGCACTCCTGCCTGGGCGATGGAGTGAGACTCCAACTCAAAAAATAAATAAACAAACAAATAAATAAATAAACATTGGCCTAGTTAACTCCAGGACCTGCTATTTTGTAAATTAAACATCTTTATGGGTCAAGCCTTCCAAAATAATAGTTGAAGATCTTGGGGGCACTGTAAAGCTCTGATTTGGTTTCTGAATTATCCAAGAACAATGAAGTAGCAGCTGCTTTGTGTCAGTGTGGTCTACTGACCAGCCTAACCTCTGAAATTGAATTGTGTAGCCAAGTGCGTGGTGCCCTGCCGTTCCCTGCAATGCTGGTTGTAGCATTCCTTCAGCAACTGTGCTGGTTCATAGAGTTTACTTTCTTTTCCCCTCCTTTGAGCTGCCACCCCCGATCCCATGGATGCCATCTGAATATAACATTTATAATAGTAAAACTGTTTAATCTGAAAGTCACTATTTAAATTTTGAAAGTGCCAAGACAGAACATGTCCTTAAGCCTTCCAAAAGATAGCTTGCCTTACTGAATGCTAAAATGATGTGAAGTGCTTATGGGTCATTTGCAGGCTCTTGAATAAGACAGCAGATCTGTATGACATTTCTAGAATCTGCGTTTAACCTAATAGCCATCAGCCACCCAGAGGCTTGGTGACTGAAGGGTCAGGTAGGAATTGGCATCTGATAATTGAGGATCATAATGTGGCAGCACTGTGGTGATTTCAGCCTCCAATGGGCAGCCTTCTTTACCTGATAAGTGAAAGACCCTTGCTGTCAGTTTAACAAAGACAGCTAAGTACTGAATGGAAGGCTGTGAAGGAATCAAAAGAGCAGGCATGTACAAACTTTCACAGTAATGGCTGAGGGCTGTGTTGTGCTCTGTTCAGTTTCTACAAATCACCTCCTAATATTTTCCACTTTTAATTTGGCCTATACCCATCTCAGACAGGCCATCACCCAGCCATAGAAATGCTGTCAATTCCACTTGATAACAAGAACCCTCTGTCTAACGATGCACAGCAAACCTGAAAAAATTTATTACTCAGACCCCACTGGAAGCACCCTAAAATAAAAAATACCTACATTCTACAGATGAGGGAGAAAATTAACAAGACGAAGCAGACGGTTGCCGTAAGCACAATGAGAAACCATTCAGCCAAGGGCTTTTGCTCATCATTTCCTGATGAAAAACAAAAAAAGGAAAGAAAGAAATCAAGTTAGAATTGATGGCAGAAAAAGAAATGACAAGGCTTGGGGCATCAGAAAGTTTGGGTATGAGTTGCATATACTGGTGATGCTGAGCAAGTATCTTCACTTCCTTGTGTGTTAGATTTCTCATCTGTAAAGGTGGGATGATATCCTTTTCACAAAGTTGCTAGGAGGGTGAGATGAAATGATGGCAACAAGGCCACTTATCTTTTTTTTTTTTTTTTTTTTTTTTGAGTCAAGGTCTCACTCTGTCACCTAGGCTGGAGTGCAGTGGCATGATCATGGTTCACCACAGCCTCAACCTCCTGGACTCAGGCAATCCTCCAACCTCAGCCTCCCCAGTAGCTGAGACTTCAGGTACACACCATCACACCCAGCTATTTGTTTTATCTTTTGTAGAGTTTTGTTGTAGAGTTATGTTGCCCGGGCTGGAGTGCAGTGACATGATCACAGTTCACCACAGTCTCAACCTCCTGGGCTCAGGCAATCGTTTTGCCTCAGTCTCCTGAGTAACTGGGACTACAGGAATGTGCCACCACACCAGGTTAATTATTTAATTTATTATTTTTTATTTTTTTGCAGAGATGAGGTCTCAATATGTTACCGAGGCCGGTCTCAAACTCCTGGGCTTAAGCAGTCCTCTCACCTTGACCTCCTAAAGTGTGATTACAGGCATGAGTCACGGCATCTGTCTACTTTCATTCTTAAAGCATTTATTCAATCAGCAAATATTTATGCAGTCTATTCCATGTACTGTGCCACTTGGATCCTGGAGCTTGTCAGCTTTTGGTACGTAGTAAGGTCTTTAGATGGAAAAGTTAAAAACACATAAACCTGCTTAGTAACCCAGTATTAAAATACTTTACAAAGTTGGAAATGGAACTTTGAACACAGTAAAGTATAAGGTAATACTTGTAGTTAACAATAAAGGCATCAGACTCTGCTATAAGTGCTTTACCATCTTAATATCTTGATTATCCTCAAAGCACCCCTTAGCATTATTCCCATTTTACAGATAAGGAAGTACAAGAAAACTGCCATTAAGTCAGTACAGAAAGTCAGTATTTTGCACTTCATATTATCTATTTAAACTTGCTTCTAATCTACATTTAAGGGACAGATTTTTCTATGGGCTTTGATGGTAGCTTTAGGGTGTATGTGATTTTTCTTTTTTAAGTACTGGAAATTCAGCCAAGAAAAATTCAAGGCCATTTACCAAATGATGTTTAAAGAGGTGATGCACTCACTAGCCTGCCTGATTCACTTTCAGAGAATAATGCAAATCCTGAGTTGCCTCTTGAAATACAAATTTTCTTTCTGTAGGAGAGCCCATTCATCTCTTCCTTCCTTTATTCATCTGTTTAACAAATATTTATTGGGCTCTTACTATGTGTTTGACACTGTACAAGTTACTGGGATACAGTGATCAAAAGAGCCCATATGAGTGCTCCTACCACACAGTTTAGAGTTCAGCAGGAAGAGTGGTACTCAGCACATAGCAGTGCAGTATGATTTCATGACAGCTGCGCCTGGTACTGTGATGAGGTTCCAACCCCACCGCATTAGGAGAAGGGTTCAAACCCGTCAATTATTCTATAAATAACTGTCGTCAATTATTTCTTCTATAAATAACAAATACATGTTAAGGAGAAGCTTCAAGTCCTTGTAAACAGCCTAAACTTTCCAAAAGCTTCAAAATACTTAAAAACAAAACCACTCAATTATCAAGAGGGAGATGCCTTTGAATTTAATGCTAGTTATTCCAGCCCTACCTTGATCTCTTGGTGTGTGTGTGTGTGTGTGTGTGTGTGTGTGTGTGTGTGTGTGTGCTGCTGAAGTCTTTTACTTGAGGTTTATCTTCTACCTCCCCAAAGCTTTAATCGCCTTCATCTTGTCCCTTCTGCTTTCAATTATTTATAGAGTTCTTCATCTTGAATAAACCATTACTCTACTCTACCATCTCTCAACTATCATCAAATGACTTCTTACTTTATTTCCCAGCCTAATTTCTTGAATAAGGAATTTAGGTTGCTTCATTTCCTCATCTCTAAAACTGTCTCTTTATTCACTGATGACTTTCTCCTAGTTAGATCCAGAGATTTTTGATTTCTTTTTCCAACTTTGTTTTTACTGGCCTCTTTTCTGAATTCACACTATTGACGGTTGAGCCCACCTTGAAACCACGTCCTCAGCCCTTTTCACCCATATTTCCCTCTTCTTCTGTGGCATTTCCTTCCTGCCTTTTTAATTTCAGCTGACCCTCTCAGCTCATCCCTTGACCCTTTTGTATTTTCTACTGCAGACTATTCTTTGAACTTTGCAAAGTTTGGTTATCATAGCTTCATTTTTTAATTTCATAAAATCTTCTCTCAGGTCTTTATTCCTGGCCCTGCCCTGACACACAGCTCCAGGTCTAGTTCTTAAACTGTGTGTAGGTGAAACCTGCTTGGATGTTCCTCAGAGCTGACAACATTCAAAACCAAGCTCATGCTCTTCTTCATGGCAAATCTGCTTCTCTCTCTAACTACCCCCACTCCATTCCCTGCTCTTGCGAGCCCCCAAACCTGAATCTTTGGGGTTACTTTGACTCTTCCCATTCTTGATAGTCCTTGTCCCTTTTCTCATTTCCTCAGTTTGTATCATTACTACATACCCAATCACGAATGCAGAAGAGACATGTTTTTGTTTAATGCACTCATCCTTCCCTAGTTTGAAAATCTGGGTTCTAGTCCCAGCCTGCTGTGAAGTTGGTGATTCTGAAACTAAGGCAGTTGAAATATATAACCCTTCTGACCCATCCCAAGTCAGTGACTTTTCATTTGATCCAGGGCACTGTCATTTCACGTACATATATCTTTAACAAAATTGATTTTATAAAGGAAGGAACTTTTTGCTGCTGGAAGTTTGAAAGTTGGAGTAAAATATAAAAAAAATAAAAATAATGAGTCACGGAAGTAACTAAGTACTTATTTTCTATACATACATTTCCATTCACTTTTTCTGACTTGTATGCAAAGTGCTTAACGTACAGTCTCAGTTAAATTCCATGGTGATGCTTTGAAGTGGGCATTTTTATCCTCACTGTACAGACAGAGAAACAAGAGCAGAAATGGTCAGAGTAAGACAGATGAGGACACCGCTAGTGAGTGAGGGAACCCAGATTCAAGCCTAGGACTTACCAGCAGGTCCAACCTCTTAATAATAATGCAGAAATACAACTCCTCTTCCCTCCCTCTATAAAACTGAGGAAATAGCCGGGCATGGTAGTGCATGCCTGTAGTTCTGGCTACTTGGAAGGCTGAGGCAGACAGATTGCTGGAGCCCAACAAGTCGATGCTGGGGTGGCTATGAGCGTGCCACTGTACTCCAGCCTGGGCGATGGAGTGAGACTCCAACTCAAAAACAAAACAAAACATAACTGAGGGCATACGGCATATGCAGGAACTTAACATAACTATTCTAAGCATTACTTCATCTTTGAGAACTTTCCAGAGCATCATCTTTGTAGCTGGATATACTTCACTGCACAAAAGTCCTATTTTGTTTGCATCCCCATCATCCAATATGGATAAGCTTGCAAGCTCCTTCTCTAAGTGAAGGTGGCTGCTTTGCAGACTCCTATTCATCCTGAAATTCCCTAGGCTCTGGGGAGACTGAATTACTGTATTAAAAAGCTATGGCCATATAATTTATTTAAAAGTTTAACTTTGATATGTATTTGTGTCTATTATTTTACAGACAGGCATTAGCTACCCTTTGTAAAATGATGTAAAACAGACCCTCAGACAGGCAAACCTCATATTTTCCCAAACCCTGCAGATACTTGGTGGTTCTTGAGTTAATATTCAGCTCTCTGGAATGGAACTGAGCACCTGCTAAACCTTGTTTTGCTGTACTTGCTCTTAGCTAAAATCAAGAGCAACTCGGGTAAATTAATACTGTCAAATTAAAGACTGTCTTGTTTTATTTCTCAGTCTGATTTTCTGAATAAGGAATTTGGCCTGCTTCATTTCCCCAGATCTGAGACATTTTATGTTCTTCATCATTATGCAAGTATTCTAATAAGGATATTCAGAAAGTCGAGACACAAATACATGGTATGCGAATTCAGCAAGGAGTATGCCAGCAGAAAAAAAGTTATTCTGTGTACAAGGAGGTTAAACAGAAACAGTTTGGGTCCTAGAGAAAGAACGAGTAGTGTTGTAAATATTATCAGGGTCAGACACAATGTGAGTTTGTGTCTCACATTGTGCAATACTCCATAGCCCTACATGTCAAGTCCTGATAATAGTACCGTTTTCTTCTGACCATGATTACAAAAATCTTTTCAGTTAAACCACTCTCTAGTTATTTACTTCAGCTGTCACTTTGATAAGCAAAGATTCTCTCTGAATTAGCAAAAATGTAGAGTCAACTGATTTTATTCCAATTAATCAAAAAAAGTTATTGATGCATATAAGAGACTATGTGAGAAGCAAAGTCAAAGTCACTGCCTGGAGGGAGTTGGCAAATTAGTCACTTCTCTTGGCCTGGCCTTTCCAGTTACCCAAAATGTGTCACGGCTACTCCCCGGCAGCCAATTGAGACAGAACTAACCCCTGAGAACACAATCAAGTTCAGCATTTCCACGAAGAAAACATCAGTTGGCAAATAAATTTAGTGCAAAAAAAAGCTTTCACCTACTGCCAGGTGGTAATAACTGGTGAATTATTTATTGTTCAGTTATTTATTCATGCAAAAAAATGGGAATCAGTTATACAAATAAGTGAATTAAAGTAGGCATCTGCTCTGGTTTCACTGAGGGTCTCATTAGAGGTAGAGCAAAGGAGGCAGTTCCCACCAACAGTGCACATTGGATCAAAATGATTAAGAACTTTAATACTATAAAAGTTGGGAAATTCCTTCACACATCCTAAATTAGAATTCTGGGGGTCTCCAGCCTTGGAAATTTTTAAAAATGTATTTCTAGGT